CAACATCCGCTGATGTTAATGTAAAAAACCTTCATCAGCAACTACCCTGTTATAGACTGCTTAAAGTAAGTATATATAATTTTATAATACTAAGCGACAGACGAACAAGTCGTGAGCGTGTCTTTCAGAACTATAAATCGCAAAGATCTTATAGGCAGTGCCACTGCGCCTGTCACTCTGAGACATAAGTTGACAAGTCCCATGTACCTGTGATTTCACCAGCACCCTTACCCTTCAAAACCGGAACACAGAATGCTAACGTTACTGCTTGGCGGCAGAAATAGGTAAGGTGGCAGTACTTTCCTACACGAAATCATTCACAATGAGCTCTGCTGCTACTAAATGACTATATTATCCATGTGCGTTTTATTCAACTCAACATCTATCAGCGGGAAACTGTTCCCCTACTATTTATATATTATGTTGTAGTTGAAACTGTATGTATCATGTAATATAAAATAAACCCTAAACTAAATTTATAAATGCAAAAGAAACTCTGTCTGTTACGATTTCACGTCAAAGCCGTTAAGATTAAATTTGATGAATTTTGGTAATGTTTTTTTATATTATCAAGTGACGGGTAAAACAAGTTGTGGGCCTGAAAGTAAGTAAGACGCCTGTACATAACAGTTGCAGTGCCACTCAGAGCTTTAAATCGCAAAGATCTGGAGGGCACTGCCACTGCGCCCGTCACCCTGAGACATAAGTTGACAAGTCCCATGTGCCTGAAATTTGACCATAGATAGAGATAGATGGACCTAGTCACAATGTTTTACTACCATGATGTTCAATTTTTTTTTGTGAAATTACACCAAACTTTGTTATAATTATTAATAGCAAAGAGCGAACACTCAGAAAAATTCATTCGACCCGGCTGGATTCGAACCAGCACTCTCAGGCAATCCGTGCGAGATGCTCTGCCAATTAAGCCACGAACCAGCAAACCTTACAAATTTTGCTATGTGCTTCTTGCAAACCTTTGTTCTTTGGTTTTTAACGATTTTTTTGCCCTAGTACCATCTGTGACAAATTTATTTCTTCACTTGGGCTTTTTGTCTTGTCACTTACTTTGCTTATAGGGATTGAAACAGGCGACGTATGTTTGTATGGAGAACCAATCATTGATCAAGTGAATAGTCCAGTAGACTACTCGATGCACTTATTTTACGTAGACAAAGTCACGGGCACCAGCTAGTAATTAAATAAATAAACGAATTTATGAATTCGCTAAAGCACGTCTTCTTTGATTGGTAGATACAGTTATCTACCAATAGCCCTAGAACGGTCGCTTTCCAATGAATTTATGCGATGTCATTAAACCATAATATAAACTCACAATACGCTTGTTACATTCCATCTAATATAACAGTCAGTTAAAAGTAATTACGCTCTCTACATCTAGAGTCTGAGGTCAACTAGAGCTCAGAGGTCGGTTTTGCCTTGCTCTTACGGTAAATGATAATATGATATGTAAGTGGTTGAATTAACAGAATTGTTATTCAAATTTATCATTTGTTTAGACAACTATACCAATTACTCAAACTAGGGTATTCTCTATGAACAAATAACAAATAAAATTAACTCCAGAGCACTACAAAAACACGCAGACGAGAACTAATTTAGAAAAAATCCTTTCCAAAATGATCCTAGCAAACGTACCTATGTACATTTTTGCATGGCAGCTATGTAAGAACAAACTCAATTTATGTTTAATAGGAGCCAACTTTATTTAGAAAAATAAGCTGATTAATTGACTTAAATATTTTGACCTCCTTTGCAAGCTTTAGTAGCAGAAGAGCTCCTTGTCAAGGAGTTCGTCCAGGGCAAGTACTACCACCTCACCTATTTCAGCCGCCAAGCAGTAATGCCAACATTATTGTGTTCCGGTTTTGAAGGGTAAGAATGCTGGTGAAATTACAGGCACATGGGACTTGTTAACTTATGTCTCAGGGTGACGGGCGCTGTGGCAGTGCCTCCGAGATCTTTCCATCCGTAGCTTACCATCAGGCGCACGACATGTTCGTCCCGTCACTAGATGTTATAATAAAAAAATAAAAACAAAGTTCTTTTTTTTTTTTTAATATATAATAGACACACGCTTGGCCACAATCTCACCTGATGTTAAGCGACGATGTGACCGACGATGGGACGCGTTTGCCTAAAAAATGCCTATTCACTCTAGCCTTGAATAGCCCCAAATTGTACTTTTCGGGAAATACAGAGCATTCCATTCCTTTGCCGTACGCATCAGAAAGGAGGAGGCAAAGCGCTTAGTGCGAATAGGTGGAATATCAACGACATAAGAATGGAGTGCTCCGGACCTTCTAGTCGACCGAAGGAGGAACGGTGAGGGCGGAACCAAATTGAAAAGTTCCTGCGCACACTCCCCGAAATGTATCCGATAGAAAACCGACAAGCAGGCTACTTTTCTGCGATGATCGAGATTTTGGAGCTTCGACTCCACAAGAGGATTATTGTTAATAAGTCTCTTTGCTTTACGCTCCACCGAGTCCAAGGCAGCTAACTGGTATTGGGCAGAGCCGTCCCAAAGGTGGCAGCAGAACTCCATACAGGATCGAACTTGTGCTTTATATAGATTTAAAAGCTGTTCAGGTGTGAAGTACCGCCTGACCTTGAAAAGTATGCCTAGTTTTCTGGCAGCAGTTCTTGGTTCTCCGGCCTTTTTTTTTATCAAATTCTCAGGTATTCGCGATTGCTACGCATTGAAAGTGTATTTAGTTTTTTCTATATCCAAATGGCGTACATTTGTTTTTTCCAGCGAAGCAACGGGTTTTTTACAGGCCCCATAGTCACGACAGACATTTTCCTATTTTTGACAGCTGTCAGTCGTCATAAATAAAACTTGTTTTAAAATTCGGACAGAACATGTTTTCTTGTTTTAGTTACCGTACCTGTACCGTTTATTTCATTACAGCCTATATGCCCGTAAATTGAGTCGACCTTACAAGGTCGTGATCGTTCACCTGTGTATCACTAACTATAGATAGTAGTAGGTAACGTGCCCGACAAACACACCAATTAAAAACCGCCACACTAGTCTTTCGAGCGTCAGCGTCTTGCTAACGCACGCACAGCGTCGACACGTCAACGTCCGCGCGACAACGACGCAACGCCAACGCGGCGTATACTCAATGTTCGGTATTATTTCGCAGTCGCGCACTAAGTGACGCTCAATGCTGATGTTGTGTGGCCGCTGCGCGTACGCTATGTGACGCTGTGCGTGCGTTGGCAAGACGCTGTGCGTGCTTTGGCAAGATGCTGACGCTGGTGCGCGGTGGGTTACCTTATAACAATTAGCTAATTCCCTGTACTATGAGGACCAGAGCATCGGAATTCACTACAGGGCAGTATTCAGATTATCCAAACCAGAACCAATTTAAACAAATTTATTTCCTAAACTACTCCTCATCCATCCACCCTCTGTGTAAGGGAGTCACCATACTTATCGACGCGGATTCGGAATTAAAAAGGTTTATGTCCGTTTAACTGCCTCCGTGACCGAACGGTTACCATATTCGATTCCCGGGCCGGGAGAAATATTTGTATGGCCTATATTATTTCTCTCGTAAGTTTGGGTGTAACTTGTGGTTGTCTATGTGTGTGTCCATGGCACCCGCGACACAAGGTTTCCCTACTGCGGGGCCATGTTGAGTGCGTGCGTTATTATTATTATTAATAAAAGTGAAATATTGAAAATTTTTTGCTACATATATAGTAGCGGTAGAGGTCCTTGTGAAAGAGTTCATCCAGGGAAGTACTGCCACCTTACAAGCAGTAATGTGAGCATGGTGGGTAAAGGTGCTGGTGAAATGACAGACACATAAGACTTGTCAACTTAAGTCTCAAGGTAGAGAGCGCAGTGACAGTGTCCCTCAGACCTTTAGGATTTAAATTGGACAGGGTGTTGCTTAACACCAGGCGCACGACTAGTTCGTCCCGTCTCTTGATATCATAAAAAAAACTCGTTCTTTATATCAACGACATCGCCAACTGTTTTATGGTCAACCTTGGTGTTTGAACTTATAACTAAAACTTGTAAGGTAAAAACAATATATTCAAAAACGGTCTCCACCTTACCTTATGTGGGTCATTCTTGAATTAGTGTACACTATCTAATTTTTCTGGCAATTTTTATTATTTAAATATTCGTGTATAACAATTGACAACAAACTTAGGCAGTGAACTCTAATTCGAGAATGACCTATGTTCGTGAGTAAATTTCACCTGTCACGTAACAGGGAAATTAAAGACACGTGGAACTTTTCAAATTATGTGGCAGTGCCTTTCTGGTCTTTGTAATGCAACTGTTAATGACAGACGTGTCGCCTACCAGCAGGCATGTTTGTCTCGTCACATGGTATAAAAGAGGGAATCTAATAAGGCTAATCTAGAAAAGTCAACAGGCCTCTCAATGGTAATGCTTAGGCTCATTTGATGATGCAGATATTCCTAGCCATGGGCGACGATGACCACCTCTCATAAAGTGGCTCGCTAAAAGATGATATAGACTTATATCACTTTATTATGCAGAAATCCTTATTGTATATAGTAAGATTTATTGTCATATAATTTATGAATGATAACAATATTTATTTTTTGTTTTTTAACGGTTTTTTGCCGTAGCGCCATCTGTGTGTAATTTCATAAAAAAATAATTGAATATCATGGTAGTAAAACATCGTGACATTGAATAAACTTAAATACAATAATTAAAGCGACATCTCTAGTCAGCTGCAGGTGTCTGTAAAGGTACCTTAGCTTAGACTGAGTGAAAAAATAGATTTCTCACAGATAACAATATTTATTATTAATGAATGGTTATTTTTTTAAATTATTATGACTTTTCATTTTAGCATTTTAATTTTTGTTTAACGATCTCGATATAATTTCTTACACTTTGACATGTAGGGAAATTTATACTCAACACGATATCGAGGATTCTATAAAAATGCATTAAAGTGTTTGCTTTGTATAAACAGGTGCCGTTTGAAGAAATACGAAGCGGATTTACCACAGACCAGCGTCATAATAACGTTCCACAACGAAGCACGGTCGACGCTCCTACGCACCATTGTCAGGTGAATACTGTGAAATTATCACGTGATTTATAGCTTTTAATAACTTTCTACATTTACTATTTAAGACCTCCTCCAAAAAAAATACGGTATGCCATAATTGTGTCCCCTGGCGTATTATAAGGCATAAACTGTCTTTACTATTTATCTAATAATAAATCATAAACTGTCTTATAATACGCCAAGCTGCTGTTGACCCATAGTCTAGATCTATGGTTCCCAAAGTAATCTATATTAATCCCCAGGAGTACACTTCAACCTAGAAGGCGCATTTGTCAGCGTAAAAAAATAGGGGGTGTAGGAGACTTTAATGGGGTTCACCAGAATGCAACCCAATTAGGCATGCCATGGCCAAAATTTTAGCTTTCTATAAATGGAATAATCTACATTACACCTATGTAGATACCATAATACTTTCTTATAATAGACATAAATTGCCTATGACGTTTTTAAACATTTCACAACAAACAAGATATTCGGTTAGATAAATATGTAAAACTTAAAATCTATTTTTTTTTTTCATAAAGTTTCTCAATATATGTGTCAGGTGTATACATTTGAAGCGATGAATTTGTAAAAAAAAAAAATATTAGGTAAGGCAGGGGATCTACGTAAAACAAAAAAAAATGGCACGTGAGAACCTCTGTTCTAGAGGCTTATAGGTGACTTGGACTTAGTTGGCGTGAGCCTTAAACAGCGCCGTAAAGTTGCCTACTTATCGGTATTCTGCAAGATATATTACGGAGGGTGTGCGATGGAATTGCATAACTTAATTCCGCCTTTATCTTTCCATAATCGGAGGACTAGGCGTTAGCTGGGGTTTCAACCCTATGTTGTGGCTATTCCAAGGATTCACACGAAGCGTTTCGCTTCCACATTTAAATGGCAAACGGCTATGGAGTGAAATTCCCTACCTGCAGTCTTATTCCCTGTACGTTATAACTTGGGCCTTTTGAAGGCGAATGTGAATGATTATTATTTAGGTGTGCATGCTCCATCGTCGCTCTTATTTTTTAAAAAACAAAATTATTCCTTTTTTACTTACTACAGTCATTCTCTGACTAGTGTTCACTACATTTTGTTTTATAATACTAAGTGATGGGACCAACAAGTCGTTCGTCTGATGGTAAGCGACACGCCTGTCCATGACAGATGTAGTGCCACACAGAGCTTTAAATCGCAAAGATCTGAGAGGCACTGCCGCACTGCGCCCATCACCCTGAGACAAGTTGAAAAGTCCCATGTGCCTGTAATTTCACCAGCACCCTTACTTACCCTTCAAAACCGAAACGCAGTAATGCATACATTGCTGCTTGGCGGCAGAAATAATAAAGTGGCAGTACTTCCTTGGACGAACTCATTCACAAGGACCTCTACTGGTACTAAATTACTGTCATCTTCTTTATTACCAGTGTTTCCGTGGCAAATTTTATTATTTAAGTATTCGGTTTTATTATCGTGCAATATTATTTAATATTCGACTATTGTATCGTGAAATATAATTTATTAACTACACGATAATATTGAAAGAATAAAAATTGTCACCGATATTAGGTAGTGAACACTAGTTTGAGAATGATCAACTATGACACTCACAGATAAGCTTGGAATGGCCCTAAAAGCTTAAAGAAATGTAATATCAAAACCTCGGCACACCCATCGCCCGGCGTTAGCCATTAATAACAACCATTAACTGCCATAAATGACGTAACGATGCACGAATTATTATGATTTAGTTAATAAAATTCGTGTGTTAATGATTAATGTTACATAATCGAGAGTGGCTTTCTATCGTTAACCGTTTTGTTGTGATTAATAAAGTAATATGTTTGAAGGCTTTCATTTATAATGCAAAGTAATAGCATTCTAATACAATGTTTATTTAAATTTTACTTGTGGTAGAAACTCTTGAATCTTTGAAGCAACGTGTCAAGTTCTTTAACTTCTATCTTCTATCTAACCGAACGGTTACCATGCTAGACTGCCACAGAAGACGTCTCGGGTTTTTTATGACCTACATTTATTTATGTCGTGACTTTGGGCGTTAATTTGTGGTTGTCTATGTGTGTATCCATGGCACCAGCGACACAGGGTCTCCCCAGAACGGGGCTATGAGTGTGTACATAAAAAAATGCGAGACTATTGACAATCGTGTGATTATGAAAGATGTCTATTACCTGGTCTCAAACCAAGGAATACCCTGTACTATGAGTGTGAGATTCAACGAGCTATGGAGCGAGCAATGCTCGGCATTTCTTTACGCGATCGAATCGGAAATGAGGAGATCCATAGATGAAATAGTAAGGGCGGCGGGTAACTGATGGGTGCTTGTCGCGTCCGGCAGGCTAGAAATGATTATCACTAATATCAGGTTTCTTACCACGGTATTACTTCTTTTTATTTTCCAGATATTTCGGAACGGTTGCACGCTGCATGGTCATGGGCTGACTCAACCCGTGAGAGTCAAACCGTGACCATGGAGAGTGCAACCGTTCGGAAATATCGGGAAAATAAAAAGAAGTCATACCGTGGTAAGCAACCTGATATTAGTGATAATCATACCAGAGCTACGGAATTCACTCGGGGCACTATCCGGAACACCCAGACTAGAACCAATTTAGAAAAGTTTATTTCCCAAATTGGTCCTACCGGGAATCGAACCGGGGACCTCCACATCCAGCGCCCACAGTGCAAACCGTTAGGCCACCGAGGTCGTCAACGATTTGTCTTCACGGTCCGTCGTTTCAGAGAGATACGATTGATCGATCGATCGTGACGAATCGATCAAAACGAGAAATCGTCTATATGGGGACCTTAAGTCTCAATGTTTTTTTCTCCGCTATCCCTTCATTTATTTTTTATTTTTAACGAACGCACTCCTAGCCCCTAAGGAAACCCTGTATCGCGGTTGCCATGGACATACATATTACACCGCCATTAATTACACCCAAACTCATGAGAGAAATAAATGTAGGCCATACAAATATTTCTCCTGGCCCGGGAATCGAACCCGGGGCCTTTATATGGCAGTCCAGTTTGGCAACCGTTCGGCTACAGAGGCAATTAAATTTCCTGGGTTCTGAACTCTCTTCGATGTGCACATTTTTTTCACTGTTAACAAAAGGAATTGCTACTTAACATTCGCCTAACGTAGAAATTAAAGTCATAGGTATGTGACAATTGACGGGTGTCGTCAACTGTTTCACTTCAAAAAGACCTGTTAACTTGAGCTTTGCTATAATGGACGATAATTGAAAAATTACATATTTAATTACCGATGAAATGTGATTCCGTTTGTTTTGTAATTAGATGTTTTGCTGTTTTTCCCCCACACCACCGAATAGAACAGCACGCCATTGTTAGAGATATCTTTATTACAATAAATACAGAATATTTTTGGAATATACGGAGACGTATACAAAGATCAGTTGTTGGCGCTGTACTATTTCTGCTGTCTAATTTGTAATTTCAGTACAAACGAGAGTTGATATTTATAAGTGATGTATCACTAATGAGTTACCAGGAATATGTGGCCCTTATTTCGTCTCTATTTCTGGTTATATACTCGATGAGATACACCAACTGCCCTAGTTGTACCGCATAGCAGCAATGACTATCTTTTGAACAGAAAAGCAAGAAAACTCATCGAAATTTGTCACGTCTCCAACCCACATTGAGCCAGCGTAGACTATGGCCCTAAAACATATTTCGCAGAGGAAAAGAGATTTGCAAGTTAATTCATAATTTTTTGAAAACCTTCTTAGTAATATTTTTTAACGTACTGTGCTGTATCGTATTAAACTCTGTCTGTCTCAGCGACTCATTTATAATAAAAATGAAAATGATGTGCTTTGTTACAGTGTCTTGAATAGAAGTCCTGAAGAGCTGATCAAAGAAATCATCCTCGTAGATGACTTTAGTGATAATCGTAAGTATTTGTGAATTAATAAGTACAATAAGGGCTAAAATACACTTATTAGTACCTGCGGTAGCTAGCACACCCGTTATCTGGTATGCCTGTACCTGACACACCTGTACCTGGCATACCTTCATCTGGCATTGCTTTCACATGTACAGACAGTTGAGTTATGTATGAGTGCCCGATAAAGATATGCGTATGTTAGGCTTAAACATTGACCGTGTAGGGACAATTAGAACAGTCAGAACGTATATTTACAAAGAGCAACCCCTAGTGTTTTTTGCTCATTCTTCTCAGGGGAATCTGCCTTACGAATGAGCTGTAGAGTGTAATAAATATGACGATTCCAAGTGTAATTTGCTTACCCATGAAATAATGATGATTTGAATTGAGTCGTCTAAAGCCTTATAAACTTTCGACTTTACGTTAGTTATAAAAAAACATATTTTTAATATAATTAAAAAATATATTTTGTTTCAATCGTTTACACTCTACAAGTCATAAATAGATGTAAATTGTAAAAGGACCTGCAGACCTATACAGGTTATGTTACCTGCAAGGTACACTACAGTTTTATTCACGTAATATTTAATTTACACTTATAAAACCTTCCTTTTATGAGAGTGAACAAATGTTATTATTATAAACCCGGTAAATAGACCCTAGTTCAGAAACAATAATTAATTTCTAATTGTATTACGCACTAATTGTCTTGCAAACAATGGACCGTTTGAAATTGAATTCGTTTCACATGGTGAATGTTGCAAGACAATAATTAGCCTTCATGTCTTTGATTGTCTCGGGCTTTAATAGGCTTTATGAAATAAAAATTCTCATAATTTAGTTCTTAAAACACAAATATGTACACCTCGTAATTGCGATTGATAATAAAAACCAATTGTGTATTTTTGTGTAAGGTGACAATACATTATCATGTTGCTACATAAATACTATACTATATTTATGTTATAAATGATTTTTTTTAATAAAATCGAGTGACGGGACGAACAAGTGCCTGATGGTAAGCGACACGCCTGTTCATAACAGTCAGACACAAGTTGACAAGTCTCATGTACCTGTAATTTCGTCAACACACTTACTATTCAAATCCGGAACGCAGTAATGCTCACATTACTGCTTGACGGCAGAAATAGGTAACGTGGCGGTAGCTCTACTACTACTAGGTACATTATTATTACAGTGTATAAAACTAGTGAAGGCTCGGCTCAATAAACGTTAATTAAAACATAACATATAAAACTTCAATGGCTCTTTTGAAAGGAAAAATGGCCTCTTCTAATAAATAGTCTACATTACTTTGAAAAGTTTCATGAACTGAGTTTCATAAAGTTTTTAGAGACTCTCGCACTCTGCGCTTTACAATTTCAACTTAAGGCTGCTTTGACGTTGATAAATTTAAATCTTAAGTGTAAATGCAAACGTGGCGCTGTCGTCGTAGCTCCGAAATTTACTTTTTCATTTATTTTCCATTATTTATTTATTTATAAAAACACTATGTAAACTTATAGTAACAAGTAAATCGTTTACATGCTAATATTTATACTACATACTTATTTGATACGCTAAATTTGCCTTATAAATTACTTTGCTAATGCTGTTGCAAAAGATGTCAGCATCCTAGACCTTAGCGACTAGACAATTAAGCAACGTGAGACTACGTTTCGTGGGCGCGTTGTCAGCCCGGTCGCACGGGAGGCGCAAACGATTGACCGGGATAGGCCCATGTAGACGTACCTGTTTGGCACAAATAGATCGAAGTTGCTCAGTGCTCCGGGATTGTCCACTGTTGATATTTTTTTTATTTATACAATAAATCTTTATTTTTATTTGTAAAATTGACACACTACGTCTCCAGCTCCGATTAGCTTTCCTCAACCTCGAAGGTTGCATGGAAAAGATCGTTTTTAGCGATAAGACCGATTTGCCCACATATTTTTTTAATTGATAATGCACTGTTCTTGTTCTTGTCTGTATAAAGTGTATTAAGTGTATAAAGTGTATTATATATCTATCTATCTGTGTTATTTATCATCACACGTCACTATAGGCAAAATACATTTACCTAAAATTCATGTAACAAGCATACAGTGTGCAATACCTCTCTCTCTCTCATCTCATAATCAATATTAAAATAAATAATTATTCAACAGCTGATGACGGAGCAGCTCTCCGAGCGATCCGCAAGGTTCGTGTAATTAGAAACAACAGACGAGAGGGCCTGATGAGATCCCGAGTGAGGGGGGCAGACGCCGCCACTGCACCTGTGCTCACCTTCCTGGATTCGCACGTGGAGTGCAATGTCCATTGGTTGGAACCACTATTGCAGAGGATTAAAGAGGTATGTTCGGAATTTTTTTAAGTAATAATAATCATTTAAGAAACCTCTCCCTTACATTGCAAAAAAGTGTAATTTTATATACATTTCGAATAGTCAAATAGGACCTTCACATGGTCCTTTTAACCTCCTGGCGTACGAACCTAATCATAGGAGGCGATCACGGTACATTCTCGAGGCTCTTTCTGTTCGTAGCCATTCCCATAAAAGCACGACCCGTAAACGCTTATTAACTACGTAGTTTTGTTACCTGTTCACCTGTTGATACAGTATGGTAACTCTAAATAAACGTAGCAACGCAGCTTGTGTCTGGACGCACACATTCGCTTAATATTGGAATCCAGGGCTGTGCAACACGAATACACCGCAAGATTGTGAGAATGTGTGCATCCGTACATGGCATATGGTGGGTGCGCTCACATGCAAGTCACGATGCTAACTTTGTGTAGAGTTACCATACAAACGTACGATGCTACGGAAAGTCTTAACAACGCTATTCGTACGGGTTCTTAATATTACAAATTGAAATGAAAGTTTTTTCAGATTTACATTGGATTTTTCAAACAATTCAAAACAATTACAATTCGTCAATGCTATCTAGCGCCTCTCGAGGGAACTACAAAACGGTCACATTTAGTTTTGGCAATGTGGTGCCCAAATTAACTTTATTACAGTTCTATCCTCTGTTTTTAACCTTATTTTACTATAAAATTATGATAAAATTACGAAAATGCCAACAGTTAAAAAACCAATTCATTAAAAGGTATATGTTTGATTAACGTTACCACATAATCGTGTTTTAAGGTCGTCACCAATTTTCCTCTCGTTTTCTTTAATTTATACATTATGTGGAATTTAAAACAGACTTAATGTGTTGTCTCATCTTGTTTTTTTTTTGTTGACGCATTGCGTGAACTTTGCACCGTTACGATTATCATTATTAGCCATGTTAGGTTAGGTACACTTAGGTTGTGGAAAGACTTCCCTGCCGGGGTTTTCCCACAGACATACAGCATGGAGTCCTTCTAAAGGGGTTTGAGAAGGATCCTATAGGGTTGGCAAAGTGCTTGTGACGCCCCTGGTGTTGCAGGCGTTCATAGGCGACGTTGACCTCTTTCCATCAGGCGGGCCGTATGCTGGTTTGCTGTCTACATAATATAAAAAAATATATTTCATCATGTATTTTATTAGACTTGAACCTAACACCATATGTCGTCGGGGATATGGTACAATTACACGTAACATTATGAGTCTCCATTTCGGTAATTTAGTGGCCAAATCTAATCCGTGTAAATGTTGTGGGAACCAAATTTGCGTGATTTACGGGAATCCTATTATTATCAGTTCGTAGACAACTTACTCGTAAATTAAAACTTACTGTGCAATGCAATATGCATGCAATGCAATAACGTTAAATCCCTCTCCTGTAAAGTTTGGTTGTGCAGATACGCGTCTTTTGTCAAAGGTACATACGCGGATTTGCGCTGTCCGCATCGGTATATGTTCCGCAGCCTAGACACCGGGCTTCTCTAAGAGGTGTTCAGATCTTTAACCGAAACGCAGCGAGCGAAGATATTGCTGCTACAAACGTGTCGCTTAATACACGACTTGTTCGTTCCGTCACTTGATATCATAAAAAAATCGTCTCCGACTTTAGATTTCATCACGACGCTTTCCTCCACTAATGAAGCAACTGACACGGACTTTATTAACACATGATTGAGAAATAATTCACATAGCGTTGCTACTCCGTAATTGAATTTCTTTGTACGTACTGTACTACCATTCTGTTAGAAGCGTTTATTGGACCACAATGTTGCTGAGAGCAAAAGCCTCGCATTAACACGCAACATGTTATTAGAGATTAATACACGATTAATTGCAACAGGTAGGGCAATGGAATGTTAGTATTACGTAGAAGAAATAATTAGTTTCTAAAGTATTTCTTTATAAACAATAACTCAGCTTGTCCTAAATTTCGTCTGTGTATTACACAAATGATAACAATCAACATTTATAATCTTTAATTAGAGTAATAGATATGCGCTCCTTTAAATTTGTCCATATGTATTTTTTTACGGAACATATTTTATGGAAAATATCGTTCGCCCGCGAAATCTGTCCAGTAATACACGCGTGATAATAACATGTATGTATATAATATTTCAAATAGGGATGCCACTAACGTCTGCCTCTGCATCCGTAATTGCGGATCATCCGCATATTTTTAAATATCAGCTTCTGTGCGATGCGAATGTTTAGCAGGTCACTACAAGATCATCGGGACAGGCCCTACTCAAAGCACGTGCCAAGTACTAGTGCTAATTAATCAGGGATCGATAATTTGCAGAGTATAGTGCAAGCAACGTCATTTTTGTTCTCTAACCAAATTTATTGAGTTTACACTTACAAACTTTTTCATTCAAGACAGCCTAGCTAAAACTTTAAGTATTAATAAATGTCGTAATATTTCTATGCCTTCTGTCTTTAATCTCTTTTGTAATAAAATTATGTAAATTAACAAATTTAATTTAAATTGAATTATGTTTAATTTAAATAAAATTTCAATTATCACCGAATCCACAATTATCTATATTTACTCTGAAAAAAGAGAAACAGACATCTGCACCTACATCCGCAACTACAGATTTCAGATGAAAACCATGAAAAATTCACATCGACGTCCGCATCTGCAGATGTCGTCATATATCTGCGGCATTTCTTTTTCATACTCTTTTGGAAAGAAACGAAAACACCTTTGCAAAGTACTTCTAGGCAAAAGTAACGACTACAAAGTTGGTCGTAGAATTTAAACAGCTGCGTATTAATTAAATTGTTTTAGAACTTGAGCAATTGTAACTTAGTCCTGGCATCATATAATCTAAGAGTTCCCTAGAGTTTCTTACTCGTTCTTCACAGGGAGGTCAGCCAGTGAACTTAGCTTACAAAATGTCGTTTTCAATTGTAAAAAAATTGCTTATGGAATAAATGATTGTTATATTGACTTGATTTTGAATCGCTTCCCAATTTAGCATTTTCTATCTTCTTTGTTGGGATTAAAGTTTAATATCACTAACTATCAATGATACTGACAAAATTCCACAGAGGATAAGTATGCATCAAACTAAAATAATGTAAATGTACCCAAACCTTTGCTCTTTATAGAAAAGGAAGGTCTGTCAGTCGACAAATTATAGAGTAGTAGCTATCATAATTTGTGTTGTAAGCAGTGTTGTTGTTCGTGATTGATGTCTTTGAAATTGCTTGTAAACGTTGATTGAATGATTTTACGTTGGAAGCGGACATAAATGCTCGTCTTGCACTAAGTACACAGATTGACAAAGAAGTTTTTATTGTTTTAAGAAAGACCAAGTGACTGGCCGAACGAGTTGTTAATGAATCTACCTTTGTTTATAATAATTTTAATTTCCTTAATTATCCGTAAATCAAACGCTTGTAACAACTGCGTTAAGCGACACGCCTGTCCATAACAGTTGCAGTGCCACTCAGAGCTTTAAATCGCAAAGATATACATAAGTTGACAAGTCCCATGTGCCTGTAATTTTTACCAGCATCTTTAACCCTTCTAAACCCAAAACACAGTCATAAAAAAATAAAACAGTACTTGGTACTTGGTGTAACGGGCTGGTGTCCGCAACTCGAAGTCAAGGCGCCTATTTTGCGTGGAAAAAACAGTAATGTTCACATTATTGCATATCGCCAGAATTAGGTAAGTTGGCATTACTTGCCTGAACGAGCTCTTTCACAAGGAGCTCTACTGCTACTAAATACACATAAGAATTTACGTAGTTTATTTTATATCACTTCGGGACGTATACGTCCGTCACTCACTCGGCTAGGGCCCATTGAAAACCAGCGTCACAGCCTAGTCCTGGTTGTATTCGCTTTTATTATATTTATATTAGTCTTTTTTTGCCTTTTTTTATATTGTGGCGTTACAATACATGGTTTCTATTTCTATTTCTAAATATCTAGTAAGATGTGCAAATCAAATTATATATCTTTATTGCGTAGGTAATCGTCACGTCTGTTTAAACTGCTAGTCATTCATAGGTCACATTCGCCTTAAAAGAATGATTTGTCTTTTATTTATATCATCTTTCGACATTAAAAAAGTGCCTTTTTTGTGTTTATTACCTCTGTTGCTGTATTCCGTAAAAGGTTCCCCTATAAAACATAAGGCAAAAGATGCCGTTCTTATGACTGTCACGACAACTCGTTCGAGATATGGCCTGTAATGTCAAGGACTAACACAATTCCATTTACGTTCACTCAATGCACAGGATACCAATTTTTTGTTCGCACTGTTTCCATTGAAGCCATTCAATTTTTCTGCAGATCGCACCGGGTTCCTAAGACTATTCTAATTTTTATTCCGTTTATAAAAACAGAATCAATGTCAATGTCGAGCTACAAAAACATCGACGCTATATTACCATCCGCCGGGCCTTCTTAGCTACGGTTACCTAACGTGCCCGCTATACTCGAGGCAAGCGGCACTGTCGCTTACAGATGGCAAACGCCCGAACGAAATGACTTTTATCCCTTGGAGTATGGGCCAGACATTAGTGTAGAACGCCACATTAGCCGGCACACTTGCCCCATCCCATCTCCAGCACACCAGCAAGAGGGATGGCTCCGCAGCTAAGCTGGCAGAAAGAATAAAAAGTAATAAGTACCAGGACCTCGGGTCCTACTACCAATTTACAGCCTTTGGAGTCGAAACCTTTAGCCCTTGGGGTCCCGGTGCCCTTCATCTGTACAAAATTTTATCCAAAAAATTAATAGACTATCTGGGAAATCCAAGGGCAGCTACCTTGGGCAAGCTACCTTGCCCAACGCATTAGCATAGCCATACAAAGGAGGGACGCTGCTGCCAGCATCATGCGGACCTTGCTGCGGGGACCCAATTTTATTCAATAATTTAATCGTAGTTTTACGTTCTAGTATTTAAGCTTTTATTGTACCTAACCTATATATTA